ATCACAACCACTGAAATTAGTGGTTTTCGATATTTATTTAATTTTTTTTTTGGTTGAAATGTGAAATTTATTAATCAACAAAAAGAAAAATACTTACAAGGGTTTGGTCTTTTACGACAAACTAAACAATATGATATTGGTCAATCGAAATAAAAAAATTAAAACCAAATTTATCACGACAAGGGGGAGGAATTCAACTGGGGATGCTTGTTGATCTTGACCAGCGTTGCATCACTTCAGTCAAACGACTCTCGTCTCCATGGTAGATAGCTTGCAATCGGTTTTGCATGTCCTTATCAATTGTTCTAGTAAGTAAAAGGACAGATCGAGGAGATTGTTGATGTCTTTTGTTGTTTCGTTCTCTCCAAATGCCATAAATAGTGGCTTGAAGTGCTAAGCGGAGCAACAGAGAGTCATCCCTCTCAATGTTCTGCCGAGTAATGGACCGAAGAGTGATCTCCCAATCTGGGTTTATCCTTCTTCCTAGTAAGCCAGAACATAGCCAATTCCAGATAGTGAACGAATAGGGGCAAGCCATGAACAAATGATCCCTAGTTTCGTTAACTTCTCCACATAGTAAACAAGCTTGATTCAATCCCCACATTCTCATACGAGCTCCAGTTGACAAGCGATCTCTAATGGCAAGCCAAGTTATAAAGCTATGTCGAGGAGTAGCCTGAGAGAACCAAACAATCTTGTGCCACCATACTTTTGGATTCACTATTCCAAGTTGTTTTTGTCGAGAATTGATCCTTGTATTCTCCACTACAATGTCTCCAATTCACTTTATCCCGACCAGCCGAAGCTTGGGGAACAGGGCATGCTCTTATCTTCAGTACTAAGTCTTGTAGTTGTTGGCCCCGGCAGCGACGAATGCCCCAAGTGTCACCTTGTCTCACCTTTGAGACCTTTGCTTGACGTGAGACACCCAAATATCGAGTACCAATGTCACCCGTGATATGTATTAGAGGACCTATTTCGAGCCAATCATCAAACCAAAGAAACGAGTCCTCCCCATTGTTGATTTGGTGGCGTAGGAATGATGTTGCAAGAGGTCGAATCCTATTCCCAATCCTACCTCTGTCTTA